AAATGTTTTGACTCATAAAACCCCTTAAACTCTCAAAACAGAACCCTAATACAACATAGTTAACCCAAACATAAATGGTATAATGAAATTTTTTTTTTTCGAAAAAGTAGTATTTTTGCAAAAATTTTGAAAATGTGGCATTTTTGAAAAGTGACACTTGAAAAATGGTATTTTTAAAAATTTGTCTAATATTTATGGTGGGGAGAGCCGTGCCTATAGGATTAAAAAAAAGCATTTGCCTATGAGCTCTAAAGAATATATAAATTTAGGACCCCAAAATTATAGTTATCACTTATATATATAGTGAAGTGGTTAAATATACCCTAATGAGATCACCAACCTCTTGAATTCGAAACCCAATATATTCACCTTAATTTTTTTTTCAGTTTTATTGTTTGTTCATATTCTGTTTTGAGGTTTTTTTTTTCTTCCAAACCTTCTTGTGTTTTGTATTTCATAATAAATTCTTTCTAATGTTTCTATGGACTTCAGGTTTAGTGGTATGATTTTGTTTCTAATTCTTCTATTGATTTTAGATTTTGTTTATACCCAAGACTTTTGATGATACGCACCAACATTTTGCTACTTACCCTTTTTGATATATAAAAAGGGAGTTGGTTAGGCAAATCAATTATGATAGTTCACTTAAATTTGTTTTTTCTTAAATGAAAGTTTATGTGATAGATTTCCTTTTTTTGTAATTATTTTTTTTATTGGTTTTAGACTTTGTTTATTATTGTTTTTTCTAATAACTTCTATCGTTTAAAACTACTGTTAAAATATATATTTAAAAAACTCCATTTTTTTAATTCGCCTTAAGTCTCTCCAAGTTGGCACGACACTAGTCGATAGTAGGTTCCCATATGTATATTATATATATTTTTGTGAAACACTTAGAACTAAACCAATTGACATTTGATAAAATGACCCAATTATTGAATCACGACATGACCGGTGAGCCAACTCATGGTTGTACCAAGGCTAGTGACCATCATTGTGGTTTATGTTGAGTTCGTTTTCAAGTAATCCATTATCAAATCAACTTAAGATTTTTGTCAATGTTGATTCACATGTAATTCTAATATATCGAGAGACTAAATCGAATGCACATATATGTTTGGACGTTACAATAAAGAGGGATATGTGAATAATTTTCTACTTAGGGTTCTCGGTGACAAATCTCAGTTTTGGAAACGATGCA